GTGGTGGCTTCCTGAACACACACACACACACACACACACACACATACACACTCACATACACACGCACATACATTCTCCTGTCTATTGATGGGGAGCGCCACCTGCTGGAATCTGGGTCCAGCGTCCCATGAACATCGTGAATAAAGCACCAACCGGGACCCCAAACACACACTCTCTTCGAGTTGTGTACAGCGAACATGACAAAACATACATACAGCATAATCACTACCTTACCCTTCCCGAACCACATAAACAAACGAACTACAAACGAACTACAAACGAACTACGGGCTGCGCACCCGTGCCCTCATGGTAAGTCAAATTTTCCAGCCTTCCAAAGACCGAAGGACGACGAAAAATGTTCTCAGAGGCATAAAATAAAACGCACCCTGACGTGCTGCTAACACAAGATTGAATTTACCTGGCTGGTTAGTCCCATGATAATACCTCGAAAGGCCATCGCCCTTTGGAAAAAAAAAAAAGGTGGTGGGCTGTGGAGAGCCTCCCGAATTACTACCCTCTTTTTTTTTATTATTATACCGTCTTCCCCCGAACACAACGCACCCTTATTTTGGCTGTCTCTGGCCGGAAATATAGCTTCTATACATTCATTTTTAGGGTGCCTTATATATATATATATTTTTTTTCTATTTCTCCTCTCCTTCCTCTTCTCTTTTTTTTCTTCTTTCGGGGGTGATCACAACTGTCTATATTCTTCTCTCAACTTCTGTTTGTTTACCTTCCACTACCTACTCCTAAGACTATTTAGAGGGGACCCCTGCAAGCATAGTTTTCCTCTCTCTGTGAAGGGGAGATTTCATGTTGCCCCTTGCCCCTAATGGTTAGGGTATAGGGTTGGGGCCGCCAATGGGGGTCTGGCTAACACAAAGACCGAGACCTGCCAGTAGCTGTGCCTCCCTTTCTCATCGTCCCCCACCCTTCATCGAGTAGCTGCAGAGGCTATGGCCAACACTCTCCCACACACCACACACAACCCACTCGCGCTCACACTCACACTCGTGTTGGTCATAGACCCCGCTAATACCGATCAGGGGTATCCAGAGGACTATCAATGCTGGATACCCCTGATCGGTATTAGCGGGGTCTATGACCAACACGAGTGTGAGTGTGAGCGCGAGTGGGTTGTGTGTGGTGTGACGGACTGTGATAGTCCTCTGGATACCCCTGATCAGTATTAGCGGGGTCTATGACCAACACGGGTGTGAGTGTGAGCGCGAGTGGGTTGTGTGTGGTGTGTGGGAGAGTGTTGGCCATAGCCTCTGCAGCTACTCTATGAAGGGTGGGGKACGATGAGAAAGGGAGGCACAGCTAYTGGCAGGTCTCRGTCTTTGTGTTAGCCAGACCCCCACTGGCGGCCCCAACCCTATACCCTAACCATTAGGGGCAAGGGGCAACATGAAATCTCCCCTTCACAGAGAGAGGAAAACTATGCTTGCAGGGGTCCCCTCTAGATAGTCTTAGGAGTAGGGTGCCTTATATTCGGGTACTTTTTTTTGAAATTCGAATGCTCCTATCTATTTGTGGGGAGCGGCACAAGCTGGGAACCGGGCCCAGCGTTCTTTATAGAACAGGGGCCAGGTCCCACTGGCCTGTGTTCTTCATTCTTGACCGCCGATTGTGGCGGGAATATACAGATCCATGGCCGGAAATGAAGAACACCATCTAGTGGGACTTGGCCCCAGATGGTAACAAAGACTGGGCCGGGGTCCCCACAGTCTACCCGGGAGAGTACAGGAACAATATCTGGTTCCGTTTATACATGAGGTAATCAGGACAGGAGTCCCAAAAAAAAAAAAAAAAAAAAATCAGGACAGGAGTGAGTGTCGAGATCAACTTACTTTTAGTAACATGCACTCCAAAGCGCTGCAAGTTTCGGGCAAAAAAACAAAGCGCTGCAAGTAGGAACAGAATGGTCGTGTGAAAATGCTGCTAACCTCCTCCCCCGAAGCCTCATGACGGATGTACTTGACCGGAAAGACAGCTACTATAGATACATAATGAGGACGCGTCGTGTTTGTTCGGAGGAAGACCATAGTATGAACAGAGTGGCCGCCAGAAACAACACCTACGGTTATCGGCACAGAAGTTGCAAAGTTGCATTCAGAAGGTCGTGGGTTCAATCCCCATTGGCCTCACGTACGTGCCTGGGCAAGCTTGGTGTTCTACCAGCTAGAGATAACCCATTGGCTCTCCAAGCCAGCATTGGCAGGACCTTGGCCAAATATTGTTGGCTGCTATGCAGCAATGATATTCGCCATTAGACACCGCTAATGTGGGGTTGGAGGGGGGTAGGGGGAGGTGTCAGTAACTGGCCAAAGATGCTCGGCACTAGCATGGCCGGTTTCCCCCGTCGGCAATGCCTGATCACCCTGCATCATCGTGATGAGGGGCTGATACAAGCCTCGCTCTCGCACCACTGCTGTGGTGCAAACCTACCCCGTGGGCTGTGGAGAGTTCCAGGTTTGGTTGGTGTTCCCCCGTATTATACATAGAGTAGCGAGAGGATGAGATAGAATATATGCAAGCGAAGATTGAGAGAAGAATATAGATTACTTTTTGAAAAAATAAGGAAAGTTACGTTTAGCCGCCCGTTCAGATGGGTATTGGGCCGGGCTCCACTACACAACACTCTACATGCAACTGCAACTGGACGCTTTATTTATGGACCCGATACGTTCAAAATGTTGGACTCCTCCGAATGCACCTGGTCGAGAAAGCGGCCACATGCATGTAGAGTGTTGTGTAGTGGAGCGCGGCCCAGTGTCGACGACGGTCCCTCTGCGTATCTTCCATCTGTGGTACATGCGTATATTACCCGGCTTGCTTGCAAGCTCCACATGGTCTGGCTATGGCGGCCTCGGCCAAGCGTAGATCGCCTCTGCAAAGCGCACGTCCCAGCTTTCCTACGTAGCAGAGATATGGCTGGTGGATCTTGTTGAACGAAGCATGAAGAAATAGCACGAAGAAATTGGTGCGATTCGAAAGTGCGTTTGTCATGCGCTTACTCTCTCTCTCTCAACTGCTTTGTGTCATTTACTTTACCCAGTTATCAGTAATGGTAGTTGTAATCGCTTCGCCCATCAGAGATTGCCCATTGTTCAATTCCGATCGGTGATTTGATTGATTGATTGGTTCGATTCGTTCGGTGCTCGATCTCTGCTGCACCGATTGGTGATCTGGTTGTTGGTCAGAGTGATTGATTGATTGGTTGATTGATTGGTCGATTGATTGGTTGATTGATTGGTTGATTGATTGGTCGATTGATTGGTCGATTGATTAGTTGATCGATTAGTTGATTGACTGATCGATTGATTGGTCGATTGATTGGTCGATTGCTTAGTTGATTGATTGTTCGATTGATTGTTCGATTGATTGGTTGATTGATTGGTCGATTGATTGGTGAGCGATCTCTACTGATGCGGTTGGCGATCTGGTTGCTTATCAGAGTGGTTGATTGATTAATTGATTGACTAATTGATTGCTTGATTGATTGATTAATTGATTGATTAATTGATTGCTTGATTGAATGATTTGTTCGACTTTTGCAGACCTTTATATGGCAAAATGATTGATGTTGATCGGTCATTCAGAGTGACTGCGTTGCAATATTCTGTTGTTTCCTCACCCGCGTACGGCTCATCGGCGGCTCATCGACGACCCAAGGGCGAGAGGAGGAAGAAGGAGGTTATCGCAGAGCTCGCGGAGCTCAGGACGGAGGATCTGCGCTGCACTAGCGTCTTCGCCCCAAATAGAACGCCCGGTCATTATCGATGTATCTGGACGAAAAGTTGACCCAAATTACGCTACAATGACCGGGCGTTCTATTCGGGGTGAAGACGTTAGCTATGGGGATTAGCTTGCAGCAGAAGCGGCGGCTTTCTGCGCGCTGCTTTCTCGACTACGTCGTGCTAGATCTGATGACGTTCACTTGCCAACGCAAAAGCCATCGGTCAATCAGAGGCTAACTAAGCCAGGGCTCACGCTAATATGGAACGGTGATCACAAAAAAAAAAAAAAAAAAAAAAAAAAAGGAATGCTGATGCTCGATGCAGATATGAGCGGGACAGGAGTAAGAGTGGTGGTCCATCGTGTTTTCTTGTCGAGCTGGATGTGAGCGAGGTCATATCTCGTAGCCATTCCACTGATATAAACAGCAAGCAACTCACCAGTTCATCTACTATCTCTATCTCACTACCTTATCTATGTATCTATTTATCTATCTATCTATCTATCTATCTATATATCTATCTATCTAGCTAGCTAGCTAGCTAGCTAGCTGAGCTCCCCACCTTATCTAATATCTATCTAGCTACCTTATCTATCTATCTATCAATCTACGTAGCTCTCTCTCTCTCTCTCTCTCTCTCTCTCTCTCTCTCTCTCTCTCTCTCTCTCTCTCTCTCTCTCTCTCTCTCTGTGTGTGTGTCGGGGTCAAGCTAGCTGGCTATCTAGCTGTATGTCGCTCTCTCCAAAGTTTAAATTGACTCCTACATTTCTATGTCTCTCTTCTAGTCGTCTGCCTAAAAATTATATTCGTGTACTGCTGCCTTCGGTGTTTTGTTGGTGGCTAGCCGCATGCCACATGAGAGCAACCAGCCTGGTAGCTCGGACTTGTTCTCTGGGTTTACCTTCCCTCTTTGATTGTTGGTAGTACTGCTGCCATCATCATTTCGCCACCTGCAGGAGCAGCACCTTGATCGGTATACCGGCACCTCGATCGGTATAGTGACACCTTGATCGGTATACCAGCAATCTGGCACGCCGCCCGGTCGGGCAGCGGTGGGGCAGGCTGGGCGACTGTGGTATGGGAAACCGGCAGGGCGACGGGCAGGCAGTGTGTGACAGGGAGCGTCGACAGCGAGTGGGCCGGACATCCTGACCTGTAACGTGACAGGCAGAGCAACGACCAGTGGTGCAAGCAGAGGGCATGTGACAAGCAGCGTGGCAGGCGGGATCGCACGCGGATTAGAGGGACGATTCGCGACCTCCAACCAGGCGGCACAGTTCATTGATTGGCTTGACTGATTGATTGACTGATGGGTTGTGCTTGACTGATTGATTGGTTGATTGATTGGTTGATTGGTTGAGTGACTGATTGGTTGATTGGTTGATTGACTGACTGATTGATTGACTGATGGGTTGTGGTTGACTGATTGATTGGTTGATTGATTGGTTGATTGATTGGTTGATTGGTTGAGTGACTGAATGGTTGATTGGTTGATTGACTGACTGATTGATCGATTGATTGATTGGCTGACTGATTGATTGATCGATTGATTGACTGATTGTGGGCGCGCCAGGGCCAGGGCAGACATAATGGCGGGGGCAAACAGTTCTTCGTCATATTTCCAGAAGATTAAGGTCGATAACCCCATCGTGGAGATGGACGGCGACGAGATGACCCGGATTATCTGGAAGATGATTAAGGAGAAGCTTATTTATCCTTTCCTGGATCTTCCCATCAAGTACTTCGACCTTGGCCTGGCTCATCGCGACAAGACGGACGACAAAGTGACCATTGAGAGCGCCGAAGCGACGCTCAAGTATAACGTTGCCGTCAAGTGCGCCACCATCACGCCCGACGAAAGCCGCGTCAAGGAATACGGTCTGAAAAAGATGTGGACCAGTCCCAACGGGACCATCCGGAACATTCTCAATGGGACCATCTTCCGGGAGCCCATCATTTGCAAGAACATTCCTCGGGTCATCCCTGGTTGGGAAAAGCCCATTGCTATAGGCAGGCATGCTTTCGGCGACCAGTACCGGGCCGTGGACTCGGTCTTCCCCGAACCAGGTCAACTCAAATTAATGTTCGTACCTACGGACAAGTCCAAGCCGGCGGTGGATTTCAAAGTGTACGAGTTTAAGGATGGCGGCGGGGTTGGGCTGGCCATGTACAACACAGACGAATCCATTCGCGCTTTCGCGCAGTCGTCGTTCGCATATGCCTACGAGAAGAAATGGCCTCTGTATCTGAGCACCAAGAACACCATCCTGAAGAAGTATGACGGCAGGTTCGAAGACATATTCCAGCAGGTGTACGAGAGGAATTGGAAGGACAAGTTCCTCCAGGCGGGGATCAGTTACGAGCATAGGTTGATTGATGACATGGTGGCGCAGACCTTGAAGAGCAAGGGGGGGTACGTGTGGGCTTGTAAGAACTACGATGGGGACGTGCAGTCGGACATGCTGGCGCAGGGGTACGGGTCGCTAGGAATGATGACTAGCGTGCTGGTGTGTCCCGATGGGAAAACCATAGAGGCGGAAGCGGCCCATGGGACGATAACAAGGCACTACAGGGCCCACCAGAAGGGAGAGGAGACCAGTAGCAACAGTGTGGCCTCAATCTTTGCGTGGACGAGGGGTCTGGCACAAAGGGCCAAGCTGGATGGGAACCGACGGCTGGCGGACTTCTGCTCTGTGTTGGAGAAGGCATGCATAGACACCGTCGAAGCAGGCAAAGTCACCAAAGATCTGGCCTTGCTAATCCATGGTGGCAAGGTCGCCAAGAAGGACTACTTGAATACAGAGGGGTTCATCGATGCCATTGCAGAAGCTCTACGGGCCAGCCTCAACATTGGCTGAACTTTTCTCGCCTAAGAGCCTAGCTTTTCTTCTGCCTTCTACGGTTCTACCGTCTACGCTTGTATGCCCCCCTTGTTCCTGTGGCCCTCCTGCAGTGCGAGAGAGCAAGCATTAGCCGCTCCCTGTGTTCCTGTTAGTTATTGTGTGTCCTTACATATCACATAACGAAGTGTCCACTGGGACAGGGCACGGTCTGGAGAGGGGGTCTAAACTCCACATCAGGCTGACTACTCCTCCTTCCCTCCCTCCCTCCCTCCCTCCCTCCCTCCCTTTGTGTCTCCACACCTCCCCTTTGAGTCCCTTGGCCGACCTAAGGCCACCTGCGCCAGGGGCAAACACCAGCTTGACATCCCTGTTGGGTAGCGCCTGCCTCAGCGTCCTGACGGAGGTTGATTCCAGCGAACCAATGCCCAACACCATCACATTGATTCCGATCCATCCATTGACCCCTCCCTTCACCCTCAACTCACTGCCCAACCACCCTCGCTCCCTTCCCTTCACTTTCCCTGTGGTCGAACACCCACCCAGGCCCTCAATGAGCATCTATTGTCCCTCCCCCTCTTCTGCAGTGCAGGCAATGCCCCCAAGGAGACGAGGAGGAACCAGCGACGAACAAGCAAAGACAGGAACTCCGCAACATACAGAAGCAACAGCGAGACGGAGGTAATGGACCTGCTAGGAAATCAGGCTTTATCAGGCGGCCAGAGTAAAGGCTGAAGATGCAGTCGCACTCCATTCTTTATCATGTTTTTGGAACCTTGTATAATGGATGCTGGACCCGTTTCCCAGCAGCTGCAGCTGGGACAGGAGCATTCACTTCAGGGCTGGGTAACCAGCAGTGACTGTTCATATCAGCACCACCAGTATCCCCAGCAGAAGTTAAAATTTCAAAAAAAGAAAGAAGAAGGGAAAGAAAAACCATCAAGACGAACTGAAGGAACTCCGGGATGAAATAGGGCTCGAGCAGCAGCGGCCAACCAAAAGGAACTCCCAATGCAGTGGATACCCCCTCAAGCTCAAAAAAATGACTCCGCGCGCCCTGACAGGACTCAGGGTGGTGGGGCTGGATGACCTGTTCACAAGAACAGCGACTACCTCCGAACAAAGAAGGGCTGGGCCAAGGACTAGCACACCGAGAGATCAAGCTGATGAACGGCAAGAACCATTTGGGATTTGACCTACTAATTCCACGAAAAAAGGCAGCCGTGGCTGGACCTGGAGAAGAGGGTCTTTGAAGACAATTTATAGCATACACCAAGAAGTTTCTGAGGACGAAATACCACGTGGAACTAAAGAAGATGCGAGGACGAGAAGGTGAAGTGTGGCCACAGGAAGGAGGATACGGTGGACCCGCTGGCGGAAAAGAGGGCGGACATGGCAGATGGACAAAGCATGCAGCCTCAGCAAGCAATACACATCTAGAGCAGGTCAGTACGGGCGTTCGGGAAACAGACACGGATGAATGGCCACGGTGCCGAGGACATATCCCGGGCCTGGCAGATTTTAAGGAGCTTAAGCCGGGAGCAGACGCGGAGGGATGAAACAGACCAACGGAAAGCATGGAGAGAAGCAGAACTGAGGAAGACGATTGTAATTGACAAGGTTGAAGCAGGTTCCTTGGCTGATGAAGTGCAAGAACAGCTTTGGCCGGTGGCATACCTGTGATGAACCGAGGTTCAAGAGATCTGATTCGTACGTAGACGCCCTGATCTCCCCACTATTCAAGGCAACTTATGTTGGAACAGACGAAGTGACGTTGAATGAGAGATGGGAGGAGAATAAGAAAATGGCTATGGATGAGAGGAGTAGCAGGAAGCCCAAGGTGTATAGATTGATCAGAAAGAAGGAGAGGGGGGGGGGCAGAAGTACGTGGCAATACCACCGAGTATGGTGCAGCGTGGATGGATTGATGAACGTCGAAGATGTTTATATCAGGGCATAGTACCTATCACTCAACAATAGAAGGAAGGAGAATATCCTCCAAATTTAAAGGAGCAGGAGAGGGCACACACACACACACACACACACACACACAG